ACAGCGACAGCAATAACAATTAGCCTTAACCAATGAGAACATGAGAAAGAAATGTAAATAAACAACAATACTATTTGGTCAACATGCCAATCAATCAAAATTGATTAGAAAAATATATTTTTTTTTTGTTTCTTAAGATAAATTCAATAATAAGTAATATTAAATATTAGATAAGAAAAACTAATTATCTAACATTTTTTTTTATAAAAACCGTTTAGATGCGACCTCTTTCGATTGACATATCCTTACAAAAAAATATCATTCGTATAAAAAATTATTTATTTTTCATTATTGATAAATATAAAAAAGATCTTCTTCATTGCTTTTATTTTCATTTTAAACAACAAAAATATACGCAAGTAAATATGCAAGGATCAGTCACTTACTCGATCGACATATGTGCGTACAACCAAGGATCACATGTTTTGTTTTCTTTCTCCACGACAGCATTCAGTGCAAAGTATTTTTCTTTACTGTCAATAGTCAGCTGGTATTTTTCTTTTATTTTATTTCATCGACAAAAATAAAATAAGTTTTCATTATTCGAATCAACTATTTTATACTTTTTTGTTTTCATACTCAAGGTCGAATATTTCTAGATTAATCGATAGTTAAAAATATTTCATTTTTCTCATTTTTGAAAATATGTGTTCACCATCACCTGGTAAACGTCGAATAGATACAGATGTTATTAAACTGTAAGTTTCTATAGATGAAATTCGTTTTGTTTTGTTTTTTTTTTTGAAATACAATTTCTTTTTTGTTTCTATTAGTCTTGAATCAAAACATCAAGTAACACTTATGTCAGGTCTTAATGAACTTATGGTTAAATTTGCTGGACCACGTGAAAGTAAAATATCGATTTTAAGAAAACAAATTTTCTAAGAATTTGTTTTTATCTTTCAGCTCCTTATGAAGGTGGTATATGGAATATTCGAGTTGATCTACCCGACAAATATCCTTTTAAATCGCCATCAATCGGTATGTTGAAAAATACTTCATCTATATGAATATGATAGAAAATCTTATCAAATCGATACGATTAATTTTTGGATAATATCTAAACCTTGGGAAAAGGAAAATCTATGATAATTGAAAACATCAATATGTACTTTGGACTTATATATATATAAACATATTATTGGCATATGTCACCGTAGTACTAGATCGTCTCATTTATACACATCTGGAAACAAATGATAGCTATCAAAACATTATATACTTATGAATAAAAACATAATAGCATTTCCGATTGAATATATTAAGTAAAAATTATAAAAAAAGCAAAATTGATTGAAATCTTTAACCATGAGTAAAATTAAAGAATATATTCATAGTAGGACACAGTAGGAAACAATTTTTTTCGAGTTTAAAATCTGAATCGAAGAAACTATCTTTCATACATTGAAATTATTAAGTAGAGATGTATCAATTCCTAGGATATAATGTCAACGATAACATTGTTTTTGACTCATTCAAACTGAGTTTGAAATCTGAGTTTTGCATTAGACAAAACTTTCGGAAAAAAGCGTTCAAAATTGATTACAACTGACACCAATGCTTTGAATTTCTAATCGTAGTTTAGAATATTTCCAGTATTGAAAATTACCCAACTTCTACCAATTCTTCATGACAATGATGATTCATTTTGAGCCCTCTTTCCAACGACTTTGTCTAATATAAAACACAGGTCTCAAAATCAGTTGGAATTGATCAAAAAAACAGGAAAACTACAAAATACGACTTCGAATAGAGAAAAACACATTGATCATGGTTGATATAAACAATCTTAATAAGAAAAACAAAAATATCATTTTTGACATCATCTTCTAGGAATTGATGAATCTCTACTACTAACGAGGAAATCTCTTCAACTATCTCCTTCCGATTTCAATGATTTTTGGCCTATAGAG